GCTAGAAATAGACTTTGAAATGCAAAGGTACCGAAATAGTGTCATTTCTTTCTTATAAAATCACCTTACGTAACACAACTACGACAGTTTGATCCCAAACTATGCAGAGCCTGTGCTATGATAACCAGACTAATGATAAACATACTTAGATATTGCTAAATAGATACACACATATGTATTATAGATAAATTACACACAGACACAGAAAAAGTGATCATGCTCATAACACAATTGTTTGTCCTGGGTGGGAATCGAGCCCATCTAACAAACTTCTTAAATCAATTGTAATTTTTTAACGTATTTGCTAGATACAGTTTTAATTCTTAACTTAACATCATAAGGATGAATCGAGAACAGATGTCAGACTATGGTGTTGAACGAATTCACTTCGCGATCATTTAATGTGGTCAGGTGTTCCGCAAGGATCATTACTCGGGCCGTTACTTTGCAACATACTTATGAATAACATTGGCTCGTGCTTTTTGCATTCAAAAATCTTGTATGCCGTAAAAATGAAAGTAAGGAGGCAAAAAAGACTACTGATGAAGCGCGTTCACTACAGGAAGACCTAGATAGGTTGCAAGTATACTGTAACTTGAATAGACTTGAGTTAAATGTATCTGAGTTTTACGTTTGCTCTTATTCTCGCAAACCTAATCCAATCCTTTATACCTAAACCGTCAAAGATACACCTATAACTAGAGGCACCTAGGTCAAGGATTTAGGAGTAATATCTGACTCAAGCTAACCTCCGATCCCCACATTGATTGTGTAGTGCAAGGAGCTACAAAATCGCTGGGATTCATATGCCGAATTTTGTCGGACTTTAAAAGCCTTTTTTATTTTTATTTTTAAAAAGACAACGCCCGCATTAGGAATACATTCATGTGTCGCGGGGGACTTTACAAACATACATGAAACGGACACAAAGAACACCCAGACTTAGAACAACAATTTGTGGATCACACAAAGGGTCGTCCCATGTGGGGTTTGAACCCACAACACTCGGCGCAGTAGGAAGCGGCGTGGCGACAGCTTAAACCACTACGCCATCCGTGCAGTCAAAACTATCATAATTCTATACTGCTCCTTGGTTCGTAGTTACCTCGAGTATGCTTCACAAGTGTGGAATCCTCGCTATGACGTCTAAATAAATCGTCTAGAAGGCATTCAGAGAAAATTTGTGAGGTACATACAATTCGTTCCAATTGTTACTTACCCAACTATAGTAGTCGATGTAAGAAATTTCACTTACTTTCTTTAGATGAAAGGCGCAAAATTGCGGACTTATGGTTCTTATTTAATAAAATGAATGGCTCAATCTAAAAGACTGAGTTTGTGAACAAAATCGCACTGCATGTACCATCTAGGTCTTCACGCAGATGGCACCTCCTACTGTAAGCCCAAACTACAGGGAAAATTCTTACTTAATAAGGGCCAGCCGCATACATAACATGGCATGTCGGAATGTAGATATCGACCTGTACACCACCAATGTCACTAAAATGAAAAGGATAATGTATTACCAGTTACTTTTAATTTTTACGACTATTATGTTAGTTTACTAGTAAGTTGTTTAAATGTTAAGTTATCAAAGTTAATTAGTTGTATGTGAAAACTTGTAATTGGCCATCACTAGCTTAATATGTACACTGTCCTTTTTAGCTGTAAGTTTCCTAACATTATAAAATAAATAAAAAAAGGCCTTTGCTGTTATGCTAAGCATTACTATTTCAGGTAACATAACAGATAATCTATATAAATCGTAAAATGACTGTAACAATGTATAGTCACGGCATCAGGGGGCCTAGTGTGTCGATCGTCACGTCGCCGCGCCGCATCGTTCGTCTTTGCGATTGGCCCGCACTGAAATCTTCACCAATCGCAACTCCGAACATGCCCGCCGAGCCAGTTGATGTGAAGCAAACTTACATGGCCCCAAGATAATTTTATTAGTATGGTTTATTCTAGCAACGTCACCTCTATTTACGTCCACGTTCGTGTAGGACAGAATAACATGAAACTTCAAATGACCGTAGCGTTCGTATTACTGGCGTTTGATGTTAAATATTGTCCAGAGTTAGAGGGCCTTGGTCGTTACTTCTATATGATTAAAGTGTAATATTGTTTGCAGATAAAATGTTTGCTTTTTTTATGAGTACGTCGTTTTCTGTTAATAGATCTCTTGAGGCATATTTGATTTTTGCGTTTAAAATATGGAAGGTCACATTTTTCTTGCCATTGATACGATGATTTTTAAATGGGGACACTTTTTACGAGCGTATTAAAGTATCAACAACGAGTGAATGGATGAAGAACGAAGAGCGATTACCTTGATTGGGTAGGCAGTTTCATAGTGTACACAACCAAACTATGTTATTAAATAAAGCACGCTATGTGTTAGTAGACATAGGCCCGTATCTGGGTCTACTAAGATATCTTGTCTGTGTCTACTAAGATATCAACGGGCTCCTTATTCATCACCCACAGTTATAATATTTTTATAAATGTATCTATGTGTTTATATGTATTTATGAGTGTATATGTGTATATGAATATTTAGATGTAAATGTGTTAATCCCGGTATATATACTATAAATATATCAATGCCTGTGTCCGTGTGGTGACGGATTAAGAATACAGAGTGTCACCACTCCTATTCATCCCGTGGGTGTCGTAAGAGCCGAGTAAGGGAAAAAACTACGCAGGACAACAGCACTGCAGAGAGAAGGAAAACTTGACACAAACCCTATACCAACCCGTCTGGCCAGCGTGGTATAGTAGGCCAAAACCTCCTTTCTAAGGAGAGGCTTATGTCCAGCAGTGGACTATTAAAGGCTGATGGTGATGCCTGTATACGTCTATTCGAAGGACAAATAGTACTGAATAAGAACTCTATCATTTATCCCCATAGATGCACCTACCTCACTCTTTCTCTGCATCGCCCAATCGGTCGACTGGCAGAGAACGCCTTAGGCATTAAGTCCGCCGATGTACACATTTGTGCATGAAGTCATAAATAAATAAATAAATATTCAAAAGGCAACTTTGATCCACATTCAATACACAACGTACCTAATGTATTTATTTGGATAAGGAATAACACTGTATTGCTCAAAATAGCTTCGTAAATTACCCACTAAATTCGTAATTTGTAAAAGTTAAAAATGATTATTGTGGGTCTATCTTCTAGGGATACCTAGGAGATACACATATACCATCCTGGACTTTTTTGTAGATCTTTTAAAGATATAAAATTCCGTAGTACATTATTTTGGTCTACCTCATAAGGTTTAGCCAGCGTTTGCAATGTAAACGCATAAAAACCATGTTTTTTTACTTCACATTACAAATCTTTGAAATTCCTCTACTATAATATGCATGTATTATACGTATAAACCCACCTCTTGAACAACTCTCTCTATTAATGAAAACCACACTAAAATCCGTTGCATATTTGCATCGAGTTTAAAAGAAAAGAAAGAAAAGTGAAGTAAAGATTAGAATATAGATTAGAAGAAAAGAAAATACAAGTAACAAAAGCCATAAAAATGTCACTAAACGATAAGACGACAAAATAAATAAACTGTCACGATTCGGCAAAGCAACAACAGAAGTATGTCAGTTCAGTGAATTTATAAACTTTGTAGTTAGGGTGACCTAAAAAGATTTACAGAGGACGGGCACAAAAATATATTTTTACATTTTTTTTATACCTGAGTGCTCGACTCGACACACCATAGAGCACGTAGGTTTTTATAATGCCTCTAAATACCACATTTTGTTGTATATCTGTGGATCTACAGCCGATACTAGGTCAGTAAAATCATTATTGTTGTGTTGTTGTTTTTTTGGAAATTAAACAATTACAACCAACTGTGCTGTACTGCTTTGAAAACAGGATGGATCTGGACCATTTCTATGAAGCCATTCGGGCCCCTCCATCGCCTGATTGGAAAAAGACCTACTGGAAAGGATGAGACGACAAACAAATAAGTAATCGTTCCGTCTAAAGTTAAGCGGCTATCGGCGCTTTACGAAACTATTATTAGGGTGGCACTGATAGCCGCTCCCTATTTTGCTCTAGTGACTTTACTTAATAAACAAATATATACTGAAGTACATTTAATCGTGGTCGTCTATTTTTTTCAGTCCGGTATTTATGATTTGACAAGAAATACATATGTGTCATATTTGCTAGGAGCAAAATCTATTTACGACTATCATTAATCGTTCTAAATTCGAAATCTTTAGATTGTAGACATAACTTCTCTTGACGTTATTTCGTATGTAATATAATATAATACTATATTTTAATTGAATATAAAAAGGAAAAAAAAAACAAAAACGGTATGCAAACTTTTTCTGTTTTTGTCAAATGTCAAATTACAATTTCAAAATGGAGATTTTGACAAGACATTATTCAAGAGAGAAAAATACAGCAAAAAACATTTTATTCTTTTTTCATCTTGACCTCAATGTTTGAAATAACTTGGCTTAATTTTGGATAAAATTCTAATCATGATCGTCATCACGTTGCTGTACCTACCTTCTCCAGTTCTGCTTGGGAGCAGCCCAATGTGTTACATTGTAAAGAGTCTTGATTCTGTCATTTTTTAAGACCGGTCGCCTGCCTGAAGCCAGCGTGCTTAAGAATGTAATCGTTTTCAAATGAAACAATGGGAGAAGTAACACAGATAGGAAAACTAGAATAAGAGATGTAGCAATTCTCTTATGATTAATAGGGAATTGGGACTAAGATGGCAATAGCTGTAAGATTGGAGAGGGTATTAAGAAAAGGATATATTCTGTAAATTTTAATTTACCTCAAAATAATGGAACTTTAGAGGAAATCTGTTCTTGTCCTTCAACAGAACAGATACGAATGAAAATTGTTCATTTATCTGAACAATAGACTATTAAATATGATAGATAAAAATAACAATATATTTAGATTTTTACTTTATACGTATATTCTGTCTTATAATAAATATAGTTACCCTCTCATTTAAGTCGAATTCAAAAAAAATCTGGACGCAAATAGTTCTTGAATTGTGTCATCAGGAATATTCCGTGACAGCCGCAAATATTTTATAAACATGTGCACCGTCACTTTACCGATTTAACACTCAGTATTGAAGAACATTACGCATTATTTTCAGTAGTTTTCGCTATACACTAACACTAAAAAGTTAATCGAACTAAAACTAAAAAAACAACACGTAACTTCACATTAGTTTGCTCAAGTGTTTCTCCGTTACATTCTATGACATTTGCTCGTTCACTGATCTATTTACATACACTTTAATTATAACAAAATATTACATTGTGAGCTCTGTTTTTATTTATAAACGTAGCCAACTCTTCATTCATTCTGTAACTAGCTAAATTAATGCTTTAAAACTCATTTTTGGACTGTGTTTCATCTCAACCTTGAGTTATTTTTATGAAAAATATTTTGAAGTATCATATTATGTCGTTTATTTTTTCTTGTCACGAAATATAAAAATAGACACGTAATATTGTAGAATTTAATTATCAAGTGCGATATTCCGATTTTTTTGCGTGAATAAATAAGTTTTGTTTTTAAACCGTGCGGCAGTAATACGCACCGCGACCTACAGTGAACTACTAGCGCTGTTGCGCTTCCTACATCCGCTCAGTAATGGACGGCCCTGGCCTTGCGCCGTCTAGCTAGACAACGCTGAAGCGCTTTATTTTATTAATTGCTACAGCTGATTGCTTAGAATTTATCATTGTATTGTTAAATGCGATCATTATCTGAGCACACTGTTAAAATGACAAGTTTTTCTTCAAAATGCATACGAGTATGAATTAGGTTTGACAGGAATTTAGCTAAAACAACATGGTCTCTTCGGCATGGCAAGCGGTTACCACAAAAACTCGCAATATTAGCACATTTGCACCGAACCCTGGATAAAGAGTTTAAACAAAAGTGCCAACGAATTTTGCCACTGGAAGAAAGGTACTATGTTTTCATTGTTGTGTGGGGACTCCCACACACACAAAGAAACAGAAACATACCACAGCGCCATCTAATTGCTAATCCTGTATCGCGATATGAAATCTCGCCGATAAGCATTTATACAACTTCCGTTGGGCCGCGGCCCGCCAGGCATAATCACCTCGCCTGGTCGAAGGATAATCCCTTAGTGTTGGAGGGACATAACACCCGTTTCTCCACAGTTGTCTCTTATCACAATTCCTAAAACATGGTTACTTAATGGCACTGAATGGTCGACGGGGCCGCGGGCCGCCAGAGAGTGGGGACCTCTGGTGGCAGATTGATTGCTGCGGTAGGGAATGGAATGGCCGGCCTGATTGCATTAAGATGCGATCGGGCCGCCATGTCGCGATTGAAGGGGGAAGTGTTCTCCCCTTTGATAGGGCCTGATTAGGCATGGTGTCAATTCGGGGAGGACCTGAAATAACATGGTCCGGGTCCTCCCCAGAGTAGGACTCCTAAGGCCGGCCGTCGGGGTGGTTTTTAGTGGAATCACCACATACTCCTGGCTCCTGAGTCCCCGAGGAGCCGGAGATCCGAAGGGATTTTCCACCCCGTCAACAAAAAAAAAAAAAAAAAAAAGGCCAATCAAGAAGAAATAAACAATAATATGAAATGTGATGAGATTTCGTGTATTTACAATGTAAACAGTTTACTAACAACTATGATGATTTTACAGTACTACTTTTTTTTATGGTAAAACGGGGTAAACGAGCCGACAGGTCACCTGATGGTAAGCAACTACCGCCCATGGACACCTGCAACTCAAAAGTCACAAGTGCGTTGCCGCCCTTGGAGTCCCTACCGCTCGAGTCAGCGGGATTTGGGCTCCGGTAACCTCACTCACTCAGTGAAAGGCAACGAAAGAATTGCTTAACACCGGTTTTCTGTGAGGCCGTGATATCACTCCGGTCGAGTCGGCCCATTCGTGCATAAGCATCATCAATTTAAACCTTAAGATTTTTTTTACCATCGATATCATCATTCGCGGTAGTAATTTTAATGACTAATAGTGGTTTCATAACACTTGTGTTTAAAGCGTACTCAATCGATTCGGCATTCCTTAAACAGGTCCACGACGGGCTTATCCAATATATCTGATGTGGTAGTTCTGTGTTGCCAACTCTGTCCACCTTTAATGGAATTCTGCCAACCTCATTCAACAATTAACGGTAGCGTTTCTGTATCATAGGCTTCTATAAAGTTTTAGTTCTCTATATAATTTTAAAGACTCCTTAAACAAAATCATCTACAAACACTAAACCTACTGCCCTAAATACCGTCTCCTTTCTGAATTCTTGTGACTTAAAGTACAACACACAAAACGTAGATTAATAGAACAAGGTAGTCTTACCTTGTTCTGCTAAAGAGGAAATATTTAACGTTTCGGTATTGCCTTTCCATAAATCTAGAGCCTAGATGGGATTCCCCTTCCTTGATTACAATTTTTTTCACAACCACAATGTGCGACAGCAGAACTTGGCAGGGCACAGCCAGAATAATGTATAATTCTTAACTCACTATTATGTTATTAAAATGGTTTACCACAGAGTTTATATATGTTTAGTAAACATATTTTTCATTTAAAATAGACAACTCTCGCATTGGAATATATCCTGTGTATAGACACAAAGAACACCCAGACTCAGAACAACAATTTGTGGATCACAACACTAAGCCGCTTAAACCACTAATGGCGTAGTGATTTAAGCGGCAATCTATGTATATATATATATAAATATATAAAATATAATATACAATACAATGTAATAAATGTGTCGTTACCACCAATTGATTGAAACATACTAATAACAATTAATCTTCAATTACTTTATTTGAACACATACAAATACTTAAAACCGTAGTAGGCAATTAAGCCCACAATCCCTTTAATATTATACGGATACCTATCTCCCCACCCTTTCCTCCACCCACAAAGAGATCCAGCAACTGGATATCGTCAGAAATAACAGCTACTACAGTTCTACCCCCTTTTTTTTTCCGTGCGGAAATCCCCTCGGATACCACCTATCGGTGGCATGTCGGACTCGAACCGACTAAAACCGCACGCCATCTCGGGTACTAATAGCCGGGGAACCAGGTATACCCTAGAAAGGAAGTACAGTTCTACCCTCTAAGGATTTGTCGAACAATCTCACTTCCAACATACCGTTGCATTATGTACATCTTACTAAACTTGAGCATAGACACAATAATATAATTAAACGCTAAAATAACAATATTTCAATGTAACATAACAGGCATTATGTCATCGCATCAGTATTTCAGGAGGGATATGACCTTTAAAACGTTAAGAAAATAACCCCCTTACTTAATCTTAGAGTTTTTTTTTTTACACATCTCATACACCAGGCAGAGCCTATACTATGGTAACCAGACTGATGATAAATATACTTATAAATTAAAAAAAAGATAAATATTATATTATTTTATATATGCTCATCACACAATATTTGTCCTGTTTGGGAATCGAACCCCCGACCTGCGATTTAGCAGTCAGGGTAGTGACCCTGACTGCTAAATTCTTTCTATTTGTTTGTCTGCACTGTTCTTCTAAGAGTATGGCCTAGTGGTTAGTGAACCACTAGACCACCGGGCCATACTCTTAGAAGATTTTTAGACTTATAATAATGCAGTAGCAGATGTCCCCTGGCGGTTATAATCAACAAACATCAAGTGATCTCACGTCGACATCTTTGTTGAGAAGCATCTGATTTTTAATTCTTTCACATACACACACACTGACAATATTTTCTCTCTCTAAGACTTAGGAATAACAAAAAGCAATAAATTATAGTCTAGTTTACATAATATTAGAGACTAATAAACAAAAGACTAAGAGACTAGGATAAAATACTGAGAATTTGACATTACATGCACAAATAAATCAAGGAATAAGCAAAACTGTTGTATTACATAAAGCTAAAAATGGCATGTGGACAAAACAACAGTTTCATATAAATAGGCAAATTTATTTAAAATGCACTTAAATTAAACAGTCAAAGTAATGTTACATCATTACTATCGATTTTGTAAAAATACAGTCATGTCATAATACAAAAAAAAAAACTAGTTTTTTTTGTCTATAATATTTTTGTCTGTCATTTATGCAATGTATTAAAAAATATAGAAATAAATATAAAAATAAATAAATAATACTTTATAAAAAACTGGCGGACCCGTCAGACGTAATCCGGTACACACGTCTTAAACTAAAAAAAATCATTTTGTTGTGGACTGAATTGTGAATCTAAGCCATTCTCGAACCCCTTAAACACACACAAAAAAAAATCAAAATCGGTCCAGCCGTTTAGGAGGAGTTCAGCACAAACACACGCACAGAATAATTATATATATATATGTATAAAGATGTGTTGTAGATGAGATCTTTTAAACTTCCCTGTAACTTAAAAGCAAAAACTACAATTTTAAACATCTGTAGATTTAATGGACTTATTGTAAAAAACTTACAAACAATTAAATCGAGTAATCACAGTTAACAACAATTAAATAAATAATAACAAATTATCGCGTTCCATCCAAATACTAATAATATAATATACTAATATTTTAAATGCGAAAGTGTGTCTGTCTGTCTGTCTGTTACCTCTTCACGTTCAAACTGCTAAACCGATTTAGATGAAATTTGGTATGGAGATAGTTTAATCCTTGATAAATGACAGAAGCTACTTTAACCGACATACGCCCGGCCTAACCGAGGACAAAAGCTCATAATTAGTATTATATATTTAAATATATAATATTACAGATTACAGACAGACAGATAGACAGACAGAGAGACACACTTTTATTTATAATGTTAGTATCGATGTTTAGGGGAATTACCCGTCGTGTGCGCGGTAATTCCCGTGAATGTTAGTATACATTTTTAAGAATTTTTAACCAAAACAACAAAAACTATAGTTATTGCGATCGTTTGGTATGAATTTACAATACAAAAA